TTGAGATGTGACTAAAACCAAATGAGATGTGACTAAAACCATGAGAAAAGCCTTTGGATGGCTGTGCAATCCATCACATTCATTTGTGAGAGCAGATGTATCTGCCTTGTTTTTTCCTGTATATAGACACAAATAATATCTGTCAGGAAAATAAGGTCTTCTGGTGAGTCTGAAAGCTGCTCCATTAAACAGTAAGAACTCTACAGAGATGTAGAAAAGACTAATTCCCATCTGCCAAGATGATTGCTATGATACACCATTATTCCCTAGCTTCACCCCAATCCCCCTTTTGTGGATAGGAATTTTGCTTATCCACAAATTGGTCTAGGGACACATTTTCCTAGTAAGAAGTCACTGCGTGGTTCTCTAATGCTCTGGTAAGCTTGAGGCAGGTCCTTCATGCAGCCAAGCTGTGGGACCACCATGGTATATCAGCCTCCCCAGGGACACTGACGTACAGCAGCAGGGAGACAAGGGCTCTCCACCAGCTGTCATAGCTCTTGTGTTAACAGCACCAATACTGAGAGCTGAAGTGTTTCTGGACCCTGGACATCATGTTAATACACAGCTGTGTCTGCCCTAAAGGCAGCACAGGCAGCTCTGCTCCATGTCCTGGTGGATGGTGACAGGGAGAAGGAGGATTGGTGTTGCTGTTCTACTGCATGACTGAGGCGCAAGGGGTGGGGATAGAGGGGTGAAAGGATGGACTGGGCACCAGCTGGTGAATATTTATATCACCCCAAGCAGTTAAGTTTGATTGTAGCTAGTCAAAGCCTTGTCTGTGACTCGACTCTGAAGAGCTCCTACGCACAGTCCAGAGTTTTTCAAGTTGTCTGATTTTGGAAATTCACCTTATGGCAAGGTGCAGGAGTACCTGTGAAATTTGGAAGAGCTCGCAGGCTTAATGCACAACCTGAATGGACGGACCACACACCATCATATACCAAGGAACCTCACCACATTATGTACCTTCACATGACCGATCCTGCATACAGGATACAATAAAACCTTAGAGGAAGAAAGTACTGTCTAGGTAGAAAGGACCTGGGCTATCATTCTTCCAGCCTCCCACTTCAAAGAAATCACTAGATCTTTTTTCTAGACTGAAATGTATGGCGATAAATAAGGTGGAACTAACTGGCATAACAGTGCATTTCACAGTTCATTTGCTTCTTCCCTTGCCCTGTCCTTTGCTTGCAGTTCACTTTTCCAAGCTCTCATGGGGAAGAGACCTACTTCTGGTTTTCAACTAAATGGTTCCTGCTAAAGCTGAAGTTTCTGTTCTGATCCTTGCTGTGCAGCTCACTTGCTAATTGACCTCTGGAAATTCACTTAACCTCTGCCTCTTATATAAAAAGAAGGGTGCTGAAAGGCTTAATTAATTAAGTGGTCCTAAAGTGCTTTTAGAATTGCATTTGACTTCCACCTCTGCATAAATTCAGGATGTTGGAGCAAGTGTGAATGAGGGCATTATGAAAGTGGGACAGTACCAGCCACAGTAAAATTACATAAATACACAAGCTTTCTCACGTAAACATAGAATCACAGAATGGTTTAGGTTGGAAGGAAGCTTAAAGATCATCTAGCTCCAATCTCCCTGCCATGGGCAGGGACGCCTTTCCCTCGACCAGGTTTCTCAGAGCTCCACCCAGTCTGGCCTTGAACACTTTTAGGGGTAACCTGTTCTAGTGCCTCACCACCCTCATGGTAAAGAATTTCTTCCTAATATCTAATCCAAACTTAACCTCCTTCAGCTTAAGGCCTTTTCCCCTTGTCCTATCACTACATGCCCTTGTGAAAAGTACCTCTTCAGCTCTTTTGTAACCCACTTATTTTTTGTAACTGGAAGGTGCTGTAAGTGCCAGCCCTGTGATCATATTAGTGGCTCTCCTCTAGACTTGCTCCAGCAAGTCCACATCTTTCTTGTGCTGGGGGCCTGTGATGGTTTGGACTTGGCTCCCTGCCAAATG